TGTCTGTGCCAATAAGTTGAGTACATTAATTGGGACACTGTAAAAAAGAACGGGTTATTTACGACATTAGTACTAAAACATCTGTCTGTCTCGTGAATCATGGCGTCCATGTAAATTTTTCAAAATATTTAAACCCGATAGGTAGTTTTATTTATACAAAATATCATTTAATTTCTACCAAAATCATGATTAAAGAATGATTGGGTAAATCAAGTTTACTAATAATAGCTTATATTATAAAATAAGTGGAAATCATTGGCCTGCAGCAAGATGCATTGACAACTTAAGAAAGGTAGCGGGCAGCGGATGTATGCGGGTTGCCCAAGACCGGGATAGTTGGCGCACTTTGGGGGAGGCTACGTTCAACAGTGAACGGCGATAGGTTGATTTTGTTGTTGTTGTCAGTGGATATTTTAAAGACACTTCAATATTACGGTGGAATAACTAATTCGTTTCAATATATGTCTCCCTATCTTATTTAAAATCGAAACGAGGTAAGGTTAGGGCCGCTTATGTAGGGACTGTTTCATAAATACTGTCCCACAATTGGCATTGTCAATGACAGATTCCGTCTAATCGGCGTGATTACGAAAAACAGAGGGATTAGCGCGGTCCCTTCACGTCCGGACGTAATCCCATCACTGGTCCATCAGAACGCGACGAGTTGTGAATGTGCATTCCTTGTAAGGATAAAGGACCGAGCGATGTCGCACGTGGCGCGCGCGTGTCCGCGCCGGTATGGTGCCAAACAGGGGTGGGCGAAAACGGTTGATACATTAGACTGGCCCGCGCTCACACCGACGCGTAATAGCGCTAATTATGAATGAGGCAGTTTATACGCGTTTTTGTTCTCATATATATACCAGCGTTCTCATATATAAAGTATTTTGGTACGCTTTAACAGCACAGTAAGCATTGTATACCGTAACAATTTGCATTATATTTCAACCGACTTCTAAAAAGGGGAAGATTCTAAATTCGATTACATTTACATGATTTTTTTATGAATAATATGTTTAAAACTCTTGTTTGGTCTTTCATGTATATGGGAGATATTAATTTAATTGGCATTGGCCCTCAGATTCCAGGCACATCGGGGAACTCCTAAAAATAAAATATTTTAAGTCTTGTTTAATATTTTAAGTTTTGGCTTTTTCTAATAAAAATGCCTTTTTATAATTAATGTAAATCCAGTAAGAGTAATAGCAATGTATTAAATGCTTTTATTCATTTCATCATATTTTTATTAATCTTTAGCGGAATACAACTCTGATAATAACAATGTTTGCAATTTTAACACCATGCAAGTGATAAGGCGATCCCTCAGTTGTTAAAAATGAGTTTTCCGCATTTCGTAACTTGGAAAATATTTACTTTATTTTGTGTACTCGATTATTGCAAATATAAAATTCGTAACTAATACTTATAAGCGAATTCTCAAGTTTATTTATCGATATTTTCCAACGAAAAATATTTTGTTAACTATGAAATAGCTTTTCTGATTAAAAATTTTTTATTAAATAAATTTGATAAAACGAATATATTAACTAAAATGAGGATAGTAATGTACGAGACCTAATTTTTTTTCACTATTTCATTAAATAGAATTTTTTTTATACAAATGTTTAGTTGTTTTTAACTTAGCTTTGAAATAAATAATTTGGAAAAGTTCGCTAAAGAAATTGAAGGATTTCCAACTAAAAAGTTGATATACTTGCAAAAACTTTCCTCAATGATCAATAATTCCGTTGGTATGTGATATAAATGGCAAAAAAGAACTGTTTTTCAATACTGTTACTTCAACGTGAGTTAATTATTACTTATTAACTATAAAAATTTTACATTCATAGAGCGTTACGTTATGGTGTGAAAATCAAACAAAATGAAACTAAACGCGCGGCGTCTTTTAAATGTGACTAAAAATAGCTCCCCATTGCCAACTTAATGTGTTGAAAAACGTTCGAAAAATAATTCCACTCTCGCCGACGAGTACTTCGGTTGTGTGCCAACTGAAGCTCTCCAATCAATGCTGGAGTGCATGATATTGTCCGCTAGGGCACTCGCCGTCGAAAATGCAATTCCAACTTTTAAACGACGCCTGTGCAAATTAAATGCGATCTCGGTTACGTGGTCCGACCAGCCATTTTGTTTCGACGGTCATTTTCATTCCACTGTTTTACCGAAAGTCGTTTTTACTTCGATGCTCCACTCGATGACCATTTTTTATTTATATGTGAATGTGATTTAATCATATATGTCAATGAATTTTGTCGGTTCCACTCCAAGAGACGTCAAGTTTAATCTGTCCATAGGTACCTACGCATGTATGACGTGTTCTCGTGCTTAGTAAATTCTAGACCTTAATCTTGATTCTTCTTATACATTAACCAAAGAGTAAAACCAATTTCATCTCAAGTTAAATAAGGTGTGTGTTTCGAAGGGTAAAATTCGTTTTTTTTTGTTTAAAACGTACGTTTCATTAAACATTTGAAAACCCTTAAGCAACTATTTACCATCTTGAAAAACTTTAGAACCCCGGAGCCAGTAATTATGTTCATAACAATTAACTTTTCCGACTTTTTTAATTTCGAAGAGATGGCACCTGAACACAACGACAAATAGACTATGATTGCCAATGAACTAACTCAGTGAATATTTACGTACTTTCCCAGTCGGATTGTCCTTTTCATGTACCAGCATTTATAATAAAATTTATTGCTTTACTTCTATAATTTTTATCGCATGTATGAATACTTTAATATTTCGCCCAACTAAAGCCAGTATAAGACCTAGTTTCCTAAAGGAGCCTTTTGTCAAATAATGGGACGCATAGCGACTGCCTTTTCGCTACACTTTTATTTAACAGGCGTAGAAGAAAAGGTCTCGAGTAAGTATTTAACACGCGCCAAACGCAATGTAGGACAAGATCTCACCAGTTTGAGCAAGGCCCTGACAAAGTACCAAATAGAGTTGTAGTTTTATGGGAAACCGTGAGAAAGCTTTAAGACACACCTTCAGTAACATTGCTGAATGATAAATCTGACTAAACGAACTTAGCTCTTCTGCAAAAATAATTCGATTTCACTCATGGAGACGTATGGTTGATTTCATTGTGAAGAATAAACTCAGATTGGCACAAAAGTTATGCCAATTCAAATCTCATTGTAATCTGTTTAGCCATTAGGGCGTGAACGAGAGATAAACATACATACATTTACAATTAATAATTTTAATACACATCACAGCAAACTTTTACTATACAGGCAATATTCGACGACTCCGTGGCGTAGTTGCCAAGGTATTGGTTTCGGCGTCGGGGGTCGTGGGTTCGATTCCTCCACGTGGCAACTATTTGTGTGACCCACAGTTTTTTGTTTGGGTGATTGTCCGCGTGTAATTTATGTTTGTAAAACATCCTTACAAAACAGGATAATGTTATCCTAAACTAAAGGCAATGTTTTTTAAATAAGAAACAAAGAATGATATTGCAATAAATAATTAGAATAATTCCGCCAACGGAAAAGCCCAATAAGAAAAAATTAAGCGATTGTAGATTAATTTATTTTTGAATTTCGTAAAGTTGTTGTGTTTGTTATATAATTTTCAGCGTCGTTGATTTGACTGTTACCTTTGATGTTGTTACATACAACAGTCAAATAGTAAAGATATGTTTTTTCACACTTTATATCCTTATATTCCTGTTGATTGTAGGTCTGTTCTGTTGTGTCAAATTATTGTTTCTTTTTTCAAGATCTGATGTTGAGATCCAACAGAAGAGTACAAAGTACACATTGGGCAAAAAAGCGCCCGATGTAGAATGTAAACGGCTATCCCGTATTTTAGGATTTTATTATTTTTTATTGTTGTACACAAACTTATATAACCTAGATCTTGAATAATTTACAGGAATCGAATACGCAAAGTTTACATTAGTGCAGCGAAATAAATAACTGCATTCGATTTTAAAATAGTACCCACTTAAACAATACCCGAAATGCGAACGTTCTCATGCTATAAAGCCCGCGAATGTAACTCACGAATGACCACTAATGAAAGTCGCTTTAACACCCACATAAATCAAGAAGCGCTGCTCCTGTCCGCAATTATACTTTAATAAAAAAAGGGGTTCGTAACCAACGACGTTGCTTCGTAGATAGTTTACCATATCCGGGTTTCATATATCAAAACTTTGCTGTGGTTCCATGAGAGGAGGAGCTATTTTTAATGAAATTGTTTTTGAAGCGAGGATAACGATAACTAGTATTTAAAAAGTTCGTGCTTAAGGTCTACACGAATGGGCAGGTCCGTCCGGGAAAGTACCACAGCCTCAAAAGCCGCCGAGAAGTGATAGTATTACGTTTCGTTTGATAACGGGTAACCGGGACCCACATAATAAAAGGTGGCATTGCATCTGCAATGCTACTGGTGTTGCGAATGTCGATGGGCGGCGGTTATCACTTATTTAACATCAGGTGAACCGCCAGCTCATTCAACCTTTTGATAAAGTGGGCCCCAGCTAACGGGAAGTATTATACTTCTGCTATTGTCACGCACTGGGAAAAAAGCAGAAGTATATTTTTTTTTAAATATTTATTTTGCACCTCGTGCAACAGAGAAGACTGTTGCGTGGCTTTAACACAGTTACTTGTGTAAACTAGTCTTTTAAGGATACAATGGATTTATAACGTTCCATTTCCACGCAGAATGAGCATTCTTGTGGACTCACAGACAGTTGTTCCAAATCCGGATTTTTCCATGTTGTGTATATGATCCTTACAACACATATCGTTGATATAGTTATCCCATAATAAAGAGAATGTTGGAAAAAGCTTAAAAAAGCGATCAAAACTGTATTAAATATACAAGTAGAGATTAGCTATTGATGTCGTTCAGTTCTCTAGTCAATTTTAAAGTGTCAGTTTTGTAAAGAAAGTAAATAATCGCCATTAAGCGTCCACGGGCAATGTGCGAATCTTCAATACATTCCAAGTCGCATCCTAGTTGTTTTCTTTTTCTAGAATGTTCATTTTCGCCTCGTTGACCGCCATTCGAGAGCGTGAAATCCGTTCGTGCGCCGTCATTATGTCGGGACGTGTGCGGGCATAACCGAACGGGGAATCGCACCGCACCACCCCAGCGTCTCTATTTTTAAGTCGCCCGGTCTCCGAAATAATGCGCAGTTTTATGTTCCGCCCGTAATCACATCCTTTCGTGTTAAATGTCTCAATTAGGTATGGCAGCATGTGTGGACACGCTTGCGTTCCACGGCTTCGGATTTGTGAACGCGCATTGGCCGTGACGGGGTGACGATAATGTCTTTATCAAGCACGCTTTGTATTTAAAATCGGCCTTAATAAACAACTAGAGAAGACTGAGGTAACTTGAAAATTTTGATGGATTGTTCTGCGCAGTTGCACCTTTTGCTACCTTTTATTTTTTATTTTTACCTAGTATTTTTTAGTAAGTATACATCTCACATAACCGTCTCTTCACTCCAGGAGACATGGAATCTTTTTAAACCTCGCCCCTTTCCCAGATATAAAAAAATCCTAACCCAATTTTACTTACATACAATTGTTAAAATTGTGTTTCTCAGACATCTCTGCTAAACAGAGACTATGTTTCACTGTTGGGCAAAAGCCTCCTTGGTGGTCTCCGTAAGAGCATAGTCCACAATGCGAACCCACGGATTTGCAGACTTCACATTATTTCCAAATTTGCAGATTTTTTACGGGTATATAGGATTTATTTGTATTTTTTGTTACTATTTTATTCTTTGGTGAGAAACACTTTTTAATTTTCCTCAGCGAATTGGAAAGTTTTTTTTTATGTGAAAACTTGCCAAACGAGCAGACGGTTCACCTGATGGTAAGTGAATACCGCCGCCCATCGACTTCTGCTACGTCCGAGGGTTACAGATGCGTTGACAGCCTTTTGAAATTGGGCTACGGCTACCTCACCCAGACGAAACGCGAAAGTATTTGTCATACTTCCACTTTACGCTGGTATTCTGTGAGGTCGTGGTACTTGCACGGACGGGCCTGCCCATTCGTGCAACAGCCGAGTCTGCTACGTGGCCCTACCACCGATATATATACCGTTTTAGAGTTTATTCTTATATCTGTCATATCGGGTAGAGAATATTACCTCAATAATAGTTTACTTATTTTAAAACCTTGTCGTGGGCTTCAAAATTTAAAACAGGCAAAACCATTATAAATCAAGTATTACTTTTATATTTTATGAGTCGTTAAATAATACTCACTGAAAATCGACTTATATATACAGCACGTATACTTCGTAATTTTTTCGAGCTCAAAAGGCAAGAGTTCAATTTGTTTCACCGCTATTATTACGATCGATGGAGTTTAAAAAATTTCATTACATCGTCCCCACACTTATCTAATAATGTATCGACGCCTACGACGACATTGTATTGCTCAACGCAGGGCATCCGTACAAAAACTCAATTTGGGATGACAAAGTGAGTTTCTTACGCTCGGAACGTTTAGCCTAAGGTTAATTTAGGAAGATGAAACGGAATATGTGGGTACAAAGCGATTTTTTTCTTTCTTACGAATTAAGTGAAAACGATAAGGTGAAATGTTGTGTAGATGTGAGATTAATAAAAAGTAATGTCCTCGAAAAATGCTTTGTAATCAATTGATTGGCTTAAAGCACAATTTAAATGGTGTTTTATATAGTTTTTTAAATCAGTAACCGTGTAAGTGTTAATGTTTTTCCGACATGTATACATGACTCACGATTGTCCACGTCTTCCTTCTTTATTCTAATAACGTCATATTGTAATTATTCATTTTTCTGCACCAAATTTCTTTTCTATCAAGTGATATTGTCAGGCAATATCAATCCGGACTAATTGAACTACTATGAACAATAATCAGTTAAGAGTGGTATAAAAATGTGTATAACGTTATGATCGTTAATTTTTATAAGTAAAATACAATGTGATTAGTCGTGAAATATTTTCATACTCGAAATGCTGAAGACCTTCATAATAGCGGGCAATACCGCTGTGTTCCAATTCCGTTAAAAATTACGTATGTATATTAAAAAAAATCTTTCCACCCAACGCTCCGTTCCGAACGAAAATTGCCGCGAGCCCGACGCTAAATCGTCCCACATTCCCGCTATAATGCCCCCCAGTTGGAAACAAAGCGGGAAAAATCCTCCCAGCGGCGGCTGTTTCTGCACGACGTCACCCTGTAGTGCGGGGAGCTAGCGAGTTTTAACGCGAGACGACCTACAACTCTAGTGCTCCGGCGACTCATTAGAGTCCCCGCGCCACGAGCGAGGGGCCTGAGGGGTCTCAGCCCCAAGCAAAAGGAGTCCTTCAGCGCTCGAGAGCTATTCGTGAGTCGGCGTACAAACACGGCGACCCGAGTAACACAGTCGGAGAAATCCCGCAGTAACGTCTTTCGTGCCGCCCGTTTCGCCGACTTTCCTCTATTATTCCTGAGTACACTGTGATAAGAAATGTAAAGTAATTCGCGAAATATGCAGTAACAGCATCTGTCCTTTAGCAGTTAGGTAGCGAGTTCTGCGCAGAAGACGCGATGTAATTCAAGAACGTCGTGCGCCTTGAATTCACGATGCGTATATATTATACTTTGTGGTGACTTAATTTTAAATCGTCTTAATTTGTTCTGTAGGCGACGCTCATTTGTTTCTTAGTCCCATAGGGATGTCTGTATTTTACTCACTGTGCTATCCCTGGTTCAATGGATCTTGAAGTGACCCTTGTAAATAAAGTTATAAACTAGAACGTACTAAATAAATTCTATAATAATCAAATTGTAGTGAAGCACTACGAAACTTACATTATATAAGCAATAAAATTGAAATGTTTATTACATAATATGTAATTTAGATTTTGGCCATAGCTAGTACCTATACTTTATGAGATATACATGAAAAGTTTTTATCATTAAAACATTCTGTCATTGCCTTTCTAAAAACAATAAGATATTTGGATATTATGTCAAGATAAACCTATAGGTGCACGTGATATCGTTTATCTCTATTTAACCAATGTCTTTTATTTGAAATTTAATCTGAATACATAGAGCGTATAAAAAGATATGGATAGGCTAGACTTGAACAAACTCTGATGCTCACGTACGAGTAAATTAACTTTATTTATTTTAAGTCGCTTTGCTTTATTAAGCGAACTGTCGCGCCACGCCGCCAAAGTAAAACATCGTCGTGTAGATTGCCACATAAAACTTAATTAGGTTTTAACAGAGTTTCATTAAAAAAAAAACACAAAGTTTAAATTGCTGCAGTGTTGTTTATTTCCCAGGGAAATAAATAAAATAGCATTTGTCTTTACTAAATAAAACACCAAATCCCTTTATAGAGCGATGGCAGACATACTTATTTTGTGTAAAGTAAATATCTATTGTTTCCAAATACCAAAACCAGTAGAAGATAAAATAATACTTAACTTTTACGTGGCAAACATAACGATTGCCTTGATAAGTTTTTACGCTCTCGAAAGAATACATTGTTTATTACGCGCCAATATTAACTCAGGCCGCTGCCGTTTACAGGATCGATTAGGCGTATCGCAGGGGTAAACAAAATTCTTAACACCCCGATCTCCCAATCTATCCGACCCTCGGTGCGGGCGCAATAGCCTAAACCTCAGACAAATCTGCACTCGTATCGACCGGCCGTCTCATCGCTCTTAATAATGAAGGATTGCGATGTTGATTGATAAGCGCCCCCTTGACTATATGTAGCCCTATATATGCGCAGACGCTCCCACTACACAATAACAAATATATTATATATATATTGTATATGCTGGACTTTTTGGCATCCTTCCTCTTTAAAGAAACTGTTTAAAAAAACAAACAGTACGTCTGGTCTTAATATCATAATCTTTCAAGTATTATTAAGTATCAGATTATAATAACGTAACATATTTAGGGCAATAGTGGATTATAACTATGCGAACTACGTAGTTCTGAAATATTAGAAGCCGTATAGTAACTTAAGGCTGACTAATTACCCGTTTTGGCATAATCGCTCATGTACGGTTTTAGTAACATAATCTTTTGAAATAGGAAAGATTGCAAATTAGCATTTCGTAATTAGGCTTCAGGGCAATGTTATTTACGAGAATCCATCTCATCTTTTTTCATTTCTGCAAAAGGTTTCTCATATAATTTAAGTATTAAGTTCGGTTTACTTGCAAAAGACATTCAAGTTATGGATCGTTCGTTTCTGGTACATATTGTTGAGAAAATGTAAAATTTTACATCGATTTCTCTATGAAATTTACTAATTCTAGGCCTCTTCGTTTATTCACATTACTGACTTCGCGTACATTTTTTTTATGTGATAAGTTACCAAACGAGCTGACGGTTCACCTGATGTTAAGTGAATACCGCCGCCCATGAACATCTGCTATACCCCAGGGTTTGCAGATGCGTTGACAACCTTTTTGGAAATTGGGCTTCGGCTACCTCACTCACCAGACGAAACGCGAAAGTATTTCTTATACTTCCACTTTACGCCGGTCTTCTGTGAGGTCGTGATACTTACCCAGACGAGCCTGCCCATTCGTGCAACAGCCGAGGCTGTTGCGTGGCTCTACCACCGTTACATATATTTATTTTCCATATATTTTTATTGGAGCTGTCGAAGAAATTTGTAAGTCTATTCCGCTGCATCTACTCATTACTTAAAAGGCTTACAATTTTATCCTGCGAAGACCGCACAACCATTAGTCCCTCGTTTTTGCTAAATCTTATGGATCGTGTTTGTTCAATGATCGATGTGCAAACATAATTTCAATATTTTAATTATTCCTAATATCGTAATGAATTGAATTCTACAAAAATGTCAAATAATTTGTATACATTCTAGTCTAGACTAGTTTATTTAGTTTTTAATGTTTGAAATATTTATTTGTTGTAATAATAAAGGCAATGTAATTTATTCTAAAAAATAAATTTATGAAGAAAATCCTAAAAGAAAAATACGTTTAAAATGGTAAACTAAATTAATTCTGAATGTTTATTCACAGGCATCTTTTTTGATATCATATTTATTTATACTTACATTTATAGAAACAATGTGATGAAAGCTTTTTATGTTACTTTATTACTAGATGATAATCTATACATAAATACATATGAATAAAAACAATAGAATTGGAAAGTCTGTTTGTGTGATTAAAATATCCGCTTTTTACTAAATGCCTATGGATGTA